GTGCCTACAGATGCGAGACGCAGGCGAAGGGCCTCTGAGCGGGCAATGTAATCCTGTGGACTCTCGGACTCTTTCATCCCCAACTACTTCCAGTCCTGCTCCAACCTCGACTTTTCTGACTGCTTTTTCTCCTGATAGAACTCTGTCACTATTTTCCAGCCTTTTTGAGGACTCTCACACGCCAGAATCAAGCTCTGAATCGGGGGATACAAAACCTTGCTGATAAGGATATTCCACAATTTGAAAGATTTGTCTACCACTTCATTACCAAAAAGTCTCCGAAGGTCTCCTACATTCACACCCCTTTTCCCGACCTTGACCTCAACCTCCAGTTCCAACGCATCGTGCACACCCTCCTCCTGAAAATATGAAATCATCTTACCACGAAAAATATCAAACATAATGTACAGATCCTGCTCCTTCTTCACACTACCAAGCCAAGGTTCGATTTCTGAGCCTGGATTTACACGTAACGTGCCTGAGCGGGCAAAGCCCTGTTGTTCAGCGATGGCCTCAGCTGTCGCCTTGGCCGCTTGCGCCACGATGTGTGCGACGCTGCTGGGGTCGTTGAAGGAAGGTGTTTTACCCTGGCTGGAGGGTGATGGCTGGCTGCCGGTAGGTGGGACCGGGTTGCCGGCAGGTGGTGGGGCGTAGTAGGTGACTTCACCCTCGTTTATCCTGTTGGCTTCGAGTTCGGCTTGCACTCGTTGCTGGACGATCTCCTCCACTTTTTGCTGTAGCTCTTCCCCGCTAAGGGCGGAGAGGTCGATGCCCTCCATGGTGTATGTTGTTGTGGGAGTCTACCGATTGCGCGTGGCTGCACAACCCCCGGAAGGCTACGCCCGCGCGCAGATACCGTGATATCGTGATATCGCACTAGTGTGAAAGGTAAACTACGCGGGGTGCAGCAAGCACGTTCTGGACGTTACTTGGGGCACTGGGTAGTCGGCCGTGGTAGACCGAGAGAGAGAGGTTGAGAGAGAGTTGGAGAGAGAGTGGGAGAAGGAAACTTGATGGGAGAGAGACTGTGGTGGTGGTGGAGAGAGAGGGAAGAAGAAGTGCGCAGGACGCACGCAAGCTCCATCGCGCCAACCACGCCAAAAGGATCCCCGTGACTGCACCGGTGGTACCCTACTACACACGAAATTCCCAACACGTATCCCCTGGGATCCTCACGACCAGATACTGCTGCGAGTATATCTNGACTCGCACTCGGCGTGCGCTCTAGCAGCATCACAGGCGGGGCTTGTGGCGAAGGAAGGAGGCCTGATCATCAACGGTGAGTCGAGAAAAACTGAAACATGACCATCGGAGATCTGGGGGGTATGGATCTAATCGTCGAGCATGCCCTCCGTGTCGCCCTCACGCTCGTCTCTCAGCGTTGGGCTAGGTAGGCCCCGAGGCCTACAGCTATCAGTGTATAATGCTGACTATCTCGGATAGCAGTCCGTTTGTCAAATGGTGTAGTGTACACAGAGCAATGTCCAAACTCCGCACCCACAACTGAACAACGTGGCCTCTTGTGCACCAGGGACCCTGAAATAGACTTGTTCCTCCGATAAAAATATCTCTGCTACTCTGTTGTCGCAGTGTGATCCTTCGTGTGGCACGTCGGGGTAAGCGGCGCGGAGGGACAAGTACAAACCCCCAACCAGCACAAGCAGGTGGTGCGCAGAACGTTGTTAAGGGTTAAACACTTTGCTTCTCTGTTCGTGGACAGATTTGTAGCATTATTTGGATGTGGGATATGACGAGCGGCGCTGACGGGTGGCTTTTGCGGTGCATGCGTCACCACTTGTGTAGTGCTGCGGGCATCCGTCGCCACTTACTTTATTAGCATCGACCGCGCTAACCGGCTGACCAATTAAGAGACGTCAGTGCCAGCGGGTAAAAATCAAGGTCCCTGGACGGGGGCCAAAATTCGAAAAATGCGGAATGCGCTTGATGCGAATGCCAATACGACTCTCTCCACATGTTCTTTCACGTA